TGAATCGTTCTACATTTGTGCAACGATATCGTCAATTAGATTTAAGTTGAGGGTTAATTCTTAGATAAAAGATAAAAATATATCCATAACAAGGATTTTAAAGCACTTTAATAAAGGTATGATATTTATCCAGTCAAAATACCGTCTGTCCGATGCATGGTAAACAATGTCCGATCCATGGTGAATTTTGAGTTATTCCTAAAAACTCGATTTTTGAGGATATTTTCTCAATAAAATGCATATAATTGTGTCCTAAATTGATATTTTAATCACAAACTAAATGTTAAACTCCATTTTGATAATTTTCCGTCGGTAGCGATATCGCTAGAACTTGTTGAAGTACAAGGGTATCCGATGCATGGTGAATTCACCCTAAATAAAGACATTTTTCTGTACAAATATTTACCTATGTTTATTTTATAACACGATTTTAATTGCCGTAAAACATGTGTATTTGTTACCGAATTACGCGTGTAGTTTGAATATAAAATTAATCTATTTATATAGTAAATATGCTTATTCTTTTAACTAATAAAATAATGTGGACTTAAGAAGATAAAACTACTATTTATAGAATGAATTAATTACATTGTACGCGGTACATTCATGAACGAACTAATTATCGCTTGTAAACAAACAATATAGTAAGTCGTACAGTATTATGTTCTCGTCAAATAATGTGCCCTATTGTGATAAACCGTACAGTTTAGATGTTTAACTTTTTTTTCTCTCTGATGTTCATTCTTGTTTACTGGTTATTGTTGTCAAGATACTTTGAAAATTTTCTAAATACACCAAAAATATTTTTTTTTTGTTTTGATAAATAAACATTTCTCAAAGCTTACATAAATATTTCGTTGGCGAATGTACATGCACACGACATAATTGTAGGGAAATTGTTTATCAGTATTTAGCTCTGGAGCTTAATTTAAAATTTCTGCAAATGAAAAATTGATAAATAATTGTTAAAATCATTTTTAGAGATTATCAAGCATTGATTCAATGGAAACATGGATATAACTTGTACTTTAAGTCATTTCATGCTGCATTTTTTTTCCCAATCGTATTTCACTTTGCATATTATGAAATCCCAATTCAATCAAATTTTACGGTCCACCTACATGTACATCTTCTGATAGAACAAACAAATCCGTTTTCTTAAGTCTGCATGAGAATTACTTAAATAATTATTTATAATCTTAAATATTAAAATAAATCTTACATGTATTTAGTTCCAGAAAAAGTCAATGAATAATATTGATAATTCTTTGAAATCTTAAATCAGTATTACATGTAATCCGTATTTCGTTTTGAAAATACTACTGTTGGCACAAATTCATTCTAAAATAATATTGTTTAATGACTGTTTGATGTTGGTTTTAAGACTGATTTTCTTGAGTTACGATACACATTTGATATTAAGTAAAATGTACTGATATTAAGTAAAATGTACTGAAAATACTAAGAAATTTATTTCGTGAGAAAAGGCACCGGGGATGCAGGGGGGGGGGGCTTAATTATACTAAATGGCAAACATATATTTTGGTTCGGTGAAGAAAGGTATTTTCCATCTATAATAAAAGATTATTTTACAAAGTTGGTGTTTTTTAAAATTTAAAACCACACTATAAATTCAATTAGCTCTAAAAATATTAAATTAACTGAATATTTGCAGTACTGTTCATAATTCTAAGACCTACGTGTAGTTTTAAACACGTGTTACTGTAGAAATAATTTTTGTGGATTCATGTCTTGTAAAAGACTTGAAATAATTATTATAGATCCATTAATGATTTGTCGTCTTTAACATTACAACAAATTCTTGCCGTGCGTAAAGCATTTGTACATTGCCTTTTTTTAAATTTAATGTTTTAGCATCGTTCTACATACATGTACATGTACAGTAGGTACTTAATGTATTATTTTCCAGGGAAATTTCATGAATAAAGTAACAGCTGAGTTATGACAATAAAAATATAAATACCATAGATAATTTTTGCAATGAAATAATTATTCTTCAAACACGATATCTAAGTTATTTAATTAAAAAAACGTGTAAATCCTTACCATCAAAAAGATTAGTCCTTTCACTTCGGAGTTCCGAATGACAATAAATACTGAACGATAAGTGAACGGTGAACGCAAGGTGAACGCAAAGTAAACGGAACGAAGAGCGAACGGTGAACGTTTTATGAACGGAGAACACGAGCGCACGGTGAACGGTGAACGCAATACTGTGAACGGAGAGCAAACGGTGAACGCACGCTGAACGAACGGTTAACGAACGCTGAACGAACGTTGAGCGAACGGTGAGCGAACGGAAAAATGGGAAAGTAGAACGTTTCAGGGACTGTAACTATAGTAAACTATAGTTACATGTAACTATAGTTAACTATAGTTAACTTTAGTATTTTTTTGTAAGGGATAATAAAACGTATTTCTCATTGTTAAAATATTTCTCAACCTGCCTCTCAAAGCAAATGAAATACGTCATTTTTAATAAAATGACGTCATGTTAACAAGTTCATAGCGATCAGTGATTTGTTTATAACCAGCTGTATGGGGTTAAAATAGCAACTTTTTAAAATGTATTGATAAGTTTAATTGTTGTTTATTATGCTAATACAGTTAAAAGTTGCCAATTATTTTATTTTCGAGTATTTTGAGGAATACATAAAAGTCACATTTTTGGTGTTACTTCACAGTAAACTTTTGCCCGTATGAATAAGTCCCCGCCAACTTTTTCCAGCCTTAACAATGCTGCGTACATTTAATCCATTCTTACAGGGTATCAAACGTCTTTTTCATATTTGGCCAATCGTGTGGCGTAAGAGAGTTCTCCATCATTTGAAATCTTACTGTGTTGCAGAGTTTACGCGAAGCATCAAAGGTTCATGGTATTTATGTGATCAAATTCGCAACTGAATCACTGTAGTATTCATTAAAATTTTAAAAGAATACATGCACACACTTATTTAAAATCGCTTATTCGTTACACAAATGGTATAGTGGTACATAATGATAGGAGTAAAAACACTTTCTGAAAAGCAGAGGAAATTCTGACCAATACAGTCGAACTAACTTAACATTTTTGTATGTAAATTTGCTCTGATAGTTTGACAGTTTTCTTGATCGAGTTATCGCATTACAAAATAAAAAGAAACTTCAGAACAATAAGATATTTTTAAGAGTTTATTGAGCATTTTGAAAAGTTTAAGAAATTTATTTAACTAAGTAATGTTTGACTAACAGTGCTAACATAAGTCTGGAGCCATTGCTCTATAGAAAAGACATATTTAAATTTAAAAAAAAATACAATGGGAACACACCTGTATTTTATTGTAAATAATAATTAACCGTTACATGGAAGTGTGAAAAATTATATTTGTCTTCGCTCCGTCATGCGTAAAGGCCAGCGAGGGTCTAGCAAATAATTGATTATGCAAGGTGAAGCCTTAGTAATTAAGTGCTCTAACTTTAGAATTAAAATACAGAATAATTGTTTGATTAAAGTTTCATTTAAAGAGAATTTGTTTGTTTAATTTTTTTTAATTATCACAGATATTACTGTGTCGGCAAAATTTATACTGATTTGCAGGCATAAAAATTGTGTCGGAGAAAATTTTACTGTGTCGGAAGCAACACAGTAAAACAGCGCATCTAGAACCCAGGGCGTAATTTTCAACAGAATCCATAATATTTCTGAAATTCTGACAATAGTTTAAGGATCGGGGTTCCATATATTTAGGACTTTTTGAAATAAGTGATCTACGCTCTTCATTATTAACTAAACAAACGTCACCTGTACTATCGTATCCAGCAGGACTAAATTTTAAGGTGAAGAATAAAAAAAACATAAAGGGAGCTACGTTTTGACGTTGTCAATGCTGTGCTGGAAGATATTTTGAATGATTCGTTTAAGTGCTTTTTTTTATCTTTATAATATAAGTGAAACTAAATATATTGAAAATGATAGCAGTTGGTTTGGACAACCCTACAGAAATTAATATACATGAAATATATATAAATAATTAATTCGTTGATTACACTCAAACAATCACCAGAAAAATAAAAAAAAAAATCTGATTGATCAGATTGGAATTAGATTATGTTTTCATAAAAAAAATGAGACTAGATTGTTGAACAATATTCACCAGTTGTTGTATAAATCTTAAAGAATTTCTTAAATATCTTGGTCTTTACGGGAAGTCCATTTAGGACCTATCAAAAATATTATTGAATTCGTTATAACCATTTTTAGAAATCGTTATATATAACGAATTTAATATTTTATAACAGAATCATTGAATTCGTTATAATTATAACGAAATTAATTTGTTATTACAGATTTATTGAATTCGTTATAATGAATTTAATTTGTTATAATAGATTTATTGAATTCGTTATTACAAATTTAATCTGTTATTACAGATTTATTTAATTTGTTATAACGAATTTAATTTGTTATAACAGATTTATTGAATTCGTTATCTCAAATTTATTCTGTTATTACAGATTTGTTGAATTCGTTATATCCAATTAAAAAATTCGTTAAATCAAATTCTTGAATTCGTTATAACGAATTCAACAAATCTGTAATAACAGATTTAACTAGTTATAACGAATTCAATGAATATGTAATAACAAAATAATTTCGTTATAACGAATTCAGTGAATCTGTTTAAAGAAATCGAATTCGTTATAATGAATTCAATGAATCTGTTATAACAAATTTAATACGTTATAACGAATTCTTAAAATTGCTATAACGAATTCAAAAATGTTTTTGATAGGTCCCAAATTGGTTTCCGTATTTACAAGCTTTCATACCTTAAATATTTCGAAAATCAAACTAAACTGCATTTTATGCATAAAATTGACACTAAAAATTTATTGTTATGAGCAATCTAAGAAAGTGTAAATCTGGATAGTAAATATATCAAAGATTTGCTGGTTTTGAATTTTTCAACTTTCGTTTTAAATAAAGTACTGCGTAGTTCCTTTTAGAGCAATGACATGTAGCAATTTAGTTCAGGTCATACGGTGTATGAGTCTTTTATCATTCAGGAGAGCGGTTACAACGGACGTCCCTTGAATGAATAGAACGAAAATAGTGAGTAGAACTTAGTAATATCATATTGTCTCAACTGTCCCAATTTGTGATGGATTCTTTAAATTATGGAATTTACAAGCCATAATAAATAATATTTTCGAAGACCTCCTGTGTTCCGAGAAACAACAAAATTTATAGTAATTAACAATAATTTATCTACATATATACAATGAACAGGAAAATTTCAATCATGGTTATCACGAGAGTTTCACACCAAATCAACCACGGTCCACCATATTGTTCTTATTGTCCTTGCCAAATATCATAATTCTAATATCAACTTTGGAATGCTGTTGTTGGAATTTTTTTCAACAGAGGCGGTTTGAATGTGACCAAAGAAACGAGATAAAATATAAAGCACTCTTTTGGATGCAGCCATTTTCAAACCATTTTGATCTTAATTTCAAGAAAATCTCCATATAATGAAATACATCAATGATCAAATTTTCAATCTAAAATGTTTAAAATCTCTCTTTCCGGTCAGAATGTTGAGAACCTGCAATGTCACTTTTCATCTCATGGATATTTTTTTTAACCCAATACACCCTTTCATTTGAATTGAATACTAAGTAATTATATTTAATGTACCATTGACGAAAGTAGTGCTCAACATAGTAAATTAGTATTTAAAATATCCTGATTTAAAATAAAAATAGACATAAAGCACATTATGTTCATGGACATTTAAAAAAAACAAAATATTAATATTGTTGCAATTCTTTGTATCATCCTTTTTTTTTAAAGAAAGGTGATTTCATTTCAATAGGAGTTGTCGGTTAGAAAGAAAAGGTACATTTAATGAAATGGCGGCTTCATCCTTCGCCACTGTGAATACTGCTCCATAGTAAGTATTGTAATATACATGATTCAAGTCTTTTATCTCATAAACGATCAACAGTACTGCTGAATATTTACATTGTAAAAAAGTATTTTACATATCTTTTATCATACAGGATGTTTTTCCTTATTCTGAAGTTTAAAATATTGACTTTTGAAACTGAAATTGTAAGAAATTGTATACTCGCTCTCGCTTGCTAATTCGATGCCAATAAGTTTATTCTTAGATCCCTTTTTTCTCGGAAAAAAGTTGAAGGGATATAATATTGAGTGTGGATGCGGACAGGGTATTTAAATTTCCCTTGTGTACGTTAAGAAAGTGACGGAATTTGCACCTTGATCGAATGTTTCCTTGATTTTATCTTACTAATATCACAAATGCAAATAATTATACCACTTCAGGACAGATGATACAAACAACAATTGAATGTTTTCGTCGGTATTTGTTTTTTGGCCATATTTTACTTGTAGATGATTAGGATGGTAATTTTCTAAAATAAGAAATCATTAACTTTCTATAATGTTTAAAATTCAAGCTCTCTGTTACTATGTATACACCTCTTTGCTTTCATTAAAATTTCACAATTATAATGAATCTTATTACTGTGAAATTTCGAATGAAAAGAAAAGTGAAAATATATGCAGTGAGAGTTATTCATTTTAATCCTTAAAAAATTAATTCGTTTGTCATTATAGTGATTTTTGACAAAAGTTTGCAGATGTATAATCTATCCTCAAGAATTTAGACTTGATTTTTTCATTTCTATTGGAGTAGTTCATTAAAAGCTATTAGAAGAGAGTAAAATAAATGATGCTGAAAAAAAGGAGTCTATCATCATATTTTTGACGTCAAGTGTTAAGAAATAAAGTATCATTTTTTGAGTGTTATTGGAATGTAAAACGGGTTGGTCACGTGATCAAATCCCAAAAAGCCCTTCGGGCTTTATGGAAGATTTGATCTTGTGCCAACCCGTTTTACATCCCAATAACACGCAAAAAATGATACCTTGTTACTTATATTTACATTTGTGACTCATTCATAGTTTATATTTGCCTGATTGTGACTTTTAACATGTGAAATGCATTATTTTTCAAACCCAACGGCATGTATGTAATCCACTGAACGTGCGTCGACCCTTTATGACGTCACTGAGAAATTGCGTCGAACGTTTATCTATACGCACATCTATGACCTCTTGACCCAGTACCTGTATTTATACAGTTATAAAAACGCTTGCTTTCAGTAGTGTTATATAAAGGAAAACATTTGCAAATGTAAATATTTGCTGGTATACAATGTACTAGAGGTTGTCACGTAAACGTTTTATTCATCGTGGGCTTATAACAATGTAAACAATGGACGCGTTGACCGTATTCTATTCTAAATCCATTTAAACAGATTACAAATAAGAATTAAATACGAAAAATAAGAAAATAAGAATTAAAATTGAAAAGAAAATACAAACAGCGCATTTCAACTCTCACTAAAAGACATTCCAGGTCCTACACAGAGATATATTTAATGATTTTTTTTTAATCTTTGATATAAGTAAATTTTCCCGATCAACTTCATATCGATCCTTCCCAGAATTTTGAGCCAGATATTAAAAGTCTTTCTCTGCAAGATGAGGATACAGATTTTAAAGAAGTTGAAGAAGCTGAAACTCTTGCAGAACAACAAGCTGGTGATGAATGAAAATGTAGAAGCTGTTACTCAAGAAGAAACCGAAACTGAAAGTCAATCTACTGGTATCTAGACATAACCTGAAAGGTCAACAAGACCAGTAAGAGCAAGGACTAAGACAGAAGAACTTTTTTTAATTTTTCTTTATTTTGTGAGGTCATTAGAAGGGTCATTTCACAAGAGATTTTCAGTAGGAGTTTGCAACTGTATCGAAGAATACAGGGCAAGGCGGGGCTCGAGCTATCACTCTCGCTTTAAGCCCTGCCCTATATATGTGATACAGTTAGAAACCCGTTCTTCTCTAAATTTAATTAATAGTACTTGCTCCATTTGCTAGCAAATCAAACTGATTTTATAGGAACATTCACACATCATAAACTCTTTTTGACCTTATTTAAAAAAATAAAACCCTTCCACTGCACATTAAATTTATCAGATTTGATTTAATTACATTAACAAGCAAGGTGTTGTGTATATCAGTCTAACAACAAAGTCATAAAGCAACAAAAGCTTAAAAACATTTAAAAATAGTTAGATTTCAATCTTTTGAAACAGTATAAGAAATAAAATTGCCATGTGTCAAGCTTTTTAAGACATTATTGAAATAAATATTTCAAATGTCTTTTGACGAGAACAGTGATTAAATATAAATCGTCACAAAGTCTGTGTACATGTACATTGTATTATACTTATTTTGTTACCGATTTTTATTGTTAAATCTGTATGATATGATGACTTATACTTCGTGCGATACTTATTAGAATTTATATAACAATATCACTCTATTACCAAAAATTCATTCCTTATTACATGTATCACTGGCTTGGAATTCCTTTGGACTAGCGATATCGTATTTACCAAGTTTCCATGGTCAACTGATCATCTCAATAACCGATTAATTTCATCGTCTCCCTTCATGATAAACAAATGTCTGAACCTGACAAAATTAGTGATTGCAACTTCTACAACATCCTGGCACACTGCAGCGTTTTTACATTCTATATAAATTAATTAATTTGAAGGTACAGTGGCTGGAACGTTACTGTTGACAACTTACACGAACGATCACGTTACACGAACGATTCCGCACGATTAACGCACGATTAAACCTGTTACACGAACGATCTTTCACGTTCACGATTCTACACGTTACACGATCTTACACGATTGTTAACGCAAACGCACGTTTCTTCACTCAAAATAGTTCAAAATATTTAGGAATCAATATTTTCAAAACGAAATACGGCTTAAAACTTATAAAAGATTTCAAAGAATTATCAATATTATTTTATAGACTTTGAAAAAAAAAAACGGAAATTGATATTTCTGTAACTAAATATATGCCAGACTTAATATTTTAGATTAAAAATAATTATTTCTAAGGTAATTCTCCGATCAAAGAAAACGGATTTTGTTCGTTCTATTAGACGATGTACATGTATGTGGGTCGTATAATTTGATTGAATTGGATATCATGATATGCAGAAAGGGAGATTCGATTGAACAAAAATGGCAGCATGGAATGACTTAAATTATAATTACAAATTTTATCCTTATGTTTCCATTGATTCAATGTCTTATAAACTTGCCAATTATTCAACTTTTTTATTTGCAGAAATTTAAAATTAATTAATTACAAATAAGCTCAAGAGATAAACACAGATAATCAAAACTCCCGAAAATCATGCCGTGTCCTTGTATATTTGTCGACTAACTAGTTATGTAAGCATTGAGAAATGTTTATTTCTTTGTAAAAAAAAAAAAAAAATATTTATTTTCAATGAATTGATTTCAAGATTATCTTGACCACAATAAGAAGTAAATAATAATTAAAATCAGATTTTTCAAAAAGGCGTTAGAGATCTAAGTACGGTTTATCACAATATTGATCGCGCTATTTGACGAGAACTTAATATTGAACGACTTACTATTTTGCTTGTTTACGGGTGATAATTAGTTCGTTCTGCGTTCTATTATGTAAATTGCGCTTTTTCATTTTATTTGGATTTTAATTAATAAATTAAGAAAAACAAACAAGGGAAATGCTTATTTTACAAATAACATTCCGATAAAAACTTACAAAACGAGATTTACACGATTCTAAACGCACGATCTCGCACGATTAAAAACGCACACGATTGAGTCTGATACACGAACGATCTAGCACGTTACACGAACGATCACTCACGATACACGAACGATTCTACACGATTGGTTTGTCAACAATAACGTTCCAGCCACTGTATTTGTCGAGGAAAAACCACGGTGTCTCGCTATGCTTCCATTTTTTGACGCTATGTCAAGCGCTTGACAAATTTAATTCAAACGTTTGCGGAACCACCTCTAATACCACAGTGCCACCCAACTATTGATTATATGAATAATGTTATTAACTTTACTTTTTATGAGCTAAATTTTCCAAACTTTAATGAGCTACTAGTGTTTACATTTATATTGATAAATTCAGTTATAGGAACGATCAAAATTCAGACGAGGAACGCTTACGACAAATTTTGAATGACATTTCACGAGTGCTAAAAATGGAGGAATTTGATGAGGATCTTCAAGAATCCTTGAAAAGAGATTACCCAGATTACATCAAAATACTAGAAAATCGTGATAAGGACTTACTAAAAAAGGATTGTGCTATTGTCTTTACAGGCAAGTCTATATCATTGTCATGGTCTAACGAATTTCAAAAAAGTATTAAACAGCATTTTTAAATTCAAATTTATTTTGTAAAGGGATGAACATTTCTTGTAAAACAATGGAACTCGATTAATTGTTGCTCATAGAATACAAGTACACCCACAGCCAAAAAAAGAAACGAATATATTGATTTTAGGATAGCCCCATAAAATAAAAAAAAAGCCACACGCTTACACAAAGGTCGATAAGAACCATTGAACTAATAATTACAATCTCTACTTTTTAAAGAAGTATTCTTCTCATATTTCTTGTATTTAAAAATTGATGAAATTTTCACAAGCAGTCCAGAAGACTTTATCGCTTTAATTAATTTTGACCGAATTTATTTAGGAAAGAGTCATATCTATTTGATAAATGTAGGAACTTAAGTCCATTATTATTATTATTATTAAACTTACTTTTGAAAAGCCGAATGCGTAAGATGACGCTAATGCCAATGACCTTGTGACCTCGAAAATGACATATATACAAAAAATAGCTTTTTTCGAACTTTCGCCATATCTTTTAAATAATTTGAGAAAAAGATTTAATAATTGGTATGCATGTGTACTCCATTAATTAAATTAATTCATATGACATCAAGGTTAGTGACCTCTGACCTAGACTGATCTATATGCCAAAAGTACACTTATTTTGTTGCCACCGGGCGCATAGTATCTAACAAACACATCTTGTTGCACTCTGAAAATAGATTGATTGATTGTATTTTGTTTAACGTCCTTCTCGAGAATTTTTCACTCATATGGAGACGCAACCAGTTGCAGGTGGAGAGCTGCAAATTTTTACCTATTCTCATCACTTATGGCCATCAAGCAGGGTGGGGGGGGTCTTTTTAGTGCCAACACCAACATTAAGGTGGGATCTCGGATTATACGGACTCATCCGATAAATAGATGTCCACGTGCCACAACGGGATAAGAACCCGCGACGTAAGGATCAAATACTTTCTCTGCGCGTAAGGATCAAATACTTACTCTGCGACTCTAGAGGAGACGCTCAAACCACTGCCCCAATCGGGATACTTGATAATATCCAATCAATTAAGAGCTAATGTAGAATACATTTTCCTAATGCACTATTCCATCGATATTTCTGACAAGTGTGTCAAAAGGCTCATTTACACTCGTCAGTTATATGCTTAATGTGATTATATTTAATAGTACGATGAAAACTATATGAAATTTAATTTGTTACAGGTGACACAAGTGCAGGTAAATCTTCAATGATCAATTTAATACTAAAAACAGATATCCTGCCAGTGGGTGGGGATGCGACGACCAATGTAATTTGCAAAATAATACATTCAGAGCGAAAACATATCAAACTATTCCAACGAGATGGGACACTATTTGATGAAATAACAGAAAATGACATTTATAAAAACGATGAACAGAACTCGAGTGATGTCATGGAAAGTTCTGGCAATACCGATGAAAAAAGTCCAGAGGAAGTTGCTGAGCTAGGTTTTCCTCCAAGTACAGAAGGAACAAGTACAAATGATGATGTTACAAGAAAAGATAGATACATTCTTTCTGTTTTAAAAAATATATTTGAAAGTGCATCAGATTCATCAACTGGCATTGACATTCGGTTTGTTGAGATTTACTATCCAATAGAAATATTAAAGGTAATGAATTCCAATAAATATATTATTTCCGATTAATTTTTTTTTCATAATCTTTTTTCATTATTTTTTTAAATAGTTCCTTTAATTTCAAATCATTTTTGAAGGGAAATATAACAATTGTCGATACCCCAGGAGTCGGAGATTGTGTCAAACTCAACCAAATCCTAGAAGAGTATCTACCTTATGCAGTGGCTTTTGTATTCATCTTGAATCCGTCTGGTGGAGGTGGAATGCAAAAAGACAGGGTAAGATAAAATCCCAGGTATTAAGGGTTGATCCAAAGTTCGCAGAATAATCCCATATTTTATTTTATTATCATAAAATTACAATAAGACTATAGACAATTGTTGATTTTTTTAAAATAAGAAATATAAAAAAAATCTAATGTAGAAACTCTATGGTAGTTGCCATTTTGCAGTAATTTTACAATGAATTATATAGCGGTCGTGGCGGTGCTTCTGTCTCGACCAATTTACTCCCTTTTGATATTCAATATTACCTCGTACCAGTCTATATAACCTCTCAGAAACTTCCGCAATAAACACAGTCCATCTGATTTTTTTTAATTAATATGATGTTCACAAATGATTTGAAAGTAAATGAAATTGAATGTTAAAATGAAATTGACAGGCATATTTTTGTCATATCTCTCGAAACATAAATGTGATTTATGTAATATTGGTGATCTGACAAAGTTCCATATCTTACCGATCAAACTTCCAAATATAACATACAGACCCTAAACCGTGCTACTACACCTCAGAAACGAACCGTACCATTCCGTGCAGAAAGCGTACCGTACCGTGAACAAAACGTACCGTTCCGTGCACAAAGCGAACCGTTCCGTGCACAAAGCGTATCGTACCGTGAACAAAGCGTACCGTTCCGTGCACAAAGTGTACCGTACCGTTCTCAAAGCGAACCGTTCCGTTCGCAAAGCGTACTGTACCGTCCACAAAGCGTACCGTTCCGTGCAAGAAACGAACCGTACCGTTCTTTGGTTAATTATGCAAACCACGCCCCCAATGATTTTTGAATAATGTAATGACCAAATAAGTCATTTTCGTTTATTTCTCGCTACGGCGCCTGTGAAAGGAGGACGAAGGTTGTGTCTGCCTGTTCGAAACACCATTATCAAGTATCATGCATATGCCTCTGGGCCTTCAACTGTGAAAATAAGGAAACTACTCGAAGCAAAATACAACTTTAAAACAACTAGACAGAGTGTGAGACGATTTCTTATTTGCTATAAATTAGATCAACTGGTTGTGTTTGTGGCCAAACGTACAGTACAGGCCAGGAGTTTTCCCGCAAAACACGTACGGGGCAGTGTGGACCTCGAACGATGTCGGCGTCTTTGAAGTCTTTCATTTTTTTTATATTAGCAAATTAAATCAGTTTTCTTTTGAAATATTAGTTTTTTTTAATAATCGTAATTTAATTATACAGATATTTAAAATAAAATTATAAGGTGCCCCAAAATTCAATATAATCGTGCTCGTGCCCGGGGAAAAACCCTCTTTTAATGTGTACATGTACATTCATGTTTCATAATCCTATAATTATATTTGACATAAAAATAGGTTCAATAGACTATAATACCACTATGAAAGAACACGCTTTCATGAATTTATTCCCTGGTTGTCTCTACTTTTCATTTTCATTTTGCTCATTTAAATTATTAAATCTTATCGGATACAAGATTTTTGTCGTTAGTATGCATTCTTATGTAATACATATCAGATGTGTGATTTTACTAATGAATTATTTTGTAAGAATTATATAAAACATATATTAACTGTCTAGAGTAAAAATTAAAAAAGAACCGTATTAGACTCTCACATTAATTCCATTAAGATTTTTACTATAGGCGAATCATTGGTGCAGTTTTACTTACACTGAAAATCTGTAATCATGTAAAACATGGATTAAAATATTACATGCGGTAAACGTGAATATTTCTACTGAACTGACAGAGATGATAATCTTACTAATAAAACTGTGATAATCTTTCACGCTGCACATACAAAAATCGCCAGCCGAATTTCTTGCAAATAAAATGTGCAAACTGCAGTATAAATATTACTTCATTCTGAAATACATCTCATGAAAAATGAAAAAAAAAGTTTGCGAAAAAATAAAGATATTATAAGGTTTGTTGTACTGTATCCCGATCCCCTTGTAGAAAGCAATACGAATTAGCTGGTCGAAAGTTCTTAAGAAGTCTGCAAAATCGTACGTTGTTGTAAGTAAAAAAAAAAATTACAGGAAACGTCCATATTAGTGTCTCAAAAAAGATAATTTACTAAATAAAATGAAATTTAAAAAATATCAATCCTCTTTCAAGCCATTCGAGTTATGTTTGTCACCCCCCCCCCCCCTCATCTAGAAGGCAATACTTATGCAACTATATGAGACTTTAAATTGTGCTTAAAAAAAAGAAAATTATAATTTAGGGATACATGCTTCATTTTTGTCTGAAAAGGGATAATTTAGGTAGTAAATTTATAATCAGTGTTGTTTTGAAACCTGGAAGATGAATTTGCTGGATGTCAGTTGAGTGATTAAATACACTTGATGTGGTCAGAACTAAATAATTGGAAAGGTGTGTTAAACACGCGCACCCCCCTCCCCCTCCGGCTGTGACCCAATATTTTATTTAAACAGGTGTGAACTATGAACTGACCATAAGAATGTTTCAAATAACAGGAGAAATTCTTCTTGCGTAAACAGTCTTTCCGGGTTACCTAGCGTCATACCATTTTGATTGACAGGTGATGCACGAGAATTTCATGCGTGCAGCATGCTAGTACAGAGAACGGATTATTCATTGAACAATAGTTGTAAAGGGGTTGATTAAATAGAATCATAGACTGATTAATTCTGACTTTAGCGAGGAAATAAACGAAGAATGAGAATAAATACAAGTTATTTTTTTTATATAGATAATGTATTAAGGGGTTGCATCTTTCTCTCTATCCCCCTTCTCTCTCTCTCAATCACGACATCGTTTTTACAGACTACAAGAATAGAATAACTTAATAAAATAAACTTATTGAAATAATTACTTAATACACTGAAAGGATTATTGAAAACATAAATACTTGTCTGTGAAAAGAATGTTTTCTGTAGCGAGAAAGTGCCCGGAAATTTTTGTATTGATTTCATGTTTCTGCTGCCGATTTTCGTATTTATTTTGTTTACTGACATTTTCCTTCTGAAGCAAACGTTTGAACGGTAGATCTATTATTTTAAAAATAAAAAAAACAATGTACATATCTAATTACTAGGAATAAAAATGAAGCAGGAAGAGTCATATTTATTTCTATAGATCAATGAATTAAAAATAAGTTACATATGTGCGTAGCGTTATATGTATAGAACAAGTATATACCCGATATATATATATATATATATATATATATATATATATTAATTCCTTTTAATTATCTTAAAACTTTATTTGAAAGTGAAAAAAATATTTCATTTAATTTTTTTTCCGTTTTAAAATGAAGGTTCAGCATACGTAAATAATAAGCACGGAAATCTTTACGAGTTCTATATATATTAATACATATCTATACATAATGTCAAAGACATCGGTGGGATGATGTTTTTTCTTCCTTTCATTTTTTTTTCATTAATTTGTTAAAAGCGGAAATATAATTATATACGTGCATTAAGTACTTCAAAAGTCATTTGAAATGAATTAATTTTTATCAGCCAATCAAAAATTAAAGCTAAGAGGCTCCGCACACTTCATTTGCATACCGTTTCCCGAAGCGTGCCGTTCATTAAACGAACCGTTCCGTGCAAGAAACGAAACGTACCGTCCACAAAGCGTACCGTTCCGTGCACAAAGCGAACCTTTCCGTGCACAAAGCGTACCGTTCCGTGAACAAAGCGAACCGTTTCGTGCACAAAGCGTACCGTACCGTTCACAAAACGAACCGTTCCGTTCTCAAAGCGTACCGTTCCGTGCACAAAGCGTACCTAACCGTACCGTTCAAGTGGTGTAGTAGCACGGTTTAGGGTCTGTAGCACATATATTAGATGAGAATACATCAAATATTATCATTTTATACAATGATGACAAAAACAATCTAAGGGGAGATCCAGATAATACTGAAATCACAAGATGCTTTTATAAAATCCCTGAATATGACAAAGTGATCTCCCCTGTTACATAACTTTACAAATTTTTTTACAAAATAAAATACAACAAGCTATTCAACAAACTATCCAAAAATGTTATTTCAATATTAACAAAACAAAAAAGAGCAGCCACCAAAGGCAAACAGAATGTTTGCAACCCCCACACAAGGAAGTAGCAACACATTTTTCTAATTTCATAGAACAAAAATGTCCTGAGAACATTGCACATGATCCAGTGAAATGAGGAACCAGTAGGAACATTATCATGCAAAATAAGTCATACATAACAATAAAACTAAATAGTGACATTAAATACATGTTAAGTAAGACTTTGATAAAGACCTGTATTCAAAATAAAAGCATTAACAGTAATTCTATGTACACAACTACATATTAAGGAAGTGAGCAATACTGTACACAGCAGTTGACTGCTGACTTGTGTATGAGCACTAGAATATCAGCGTCTGAACACAGTTGATTGAACAAGGTATTTTATAAGAATCTAACAAGAGGTTGAAATTCAAATGGTAAAGTTTTGCAAGCGTATATATCTACGAACAGCATCAGATTTTCATCTGCTTATTTTCTGAATGCCGTTTTTATAATATATTAAATGTGCAGCGTGTGTAGCTGTTTCTATTCTGAAACTATGTCCTATATTAAGAGATGGGTTAGGCCAATAAAACGGATTGCAGTTTGTAAGTTTTTGGTCAAAAATGTGTTCGTGACTCCCCCCCAACCCCAAATAGAAATAAAGGACTTGATTCGTAAGAAACTGTTTTAATGTAGAGCCACAGTGCTTGAACTGGGCACATATCTTAGTTGCTTGAAGTTAAAGGTTAATTTGAAAAAAGATCTTTTGTTTCATTTGTTTTGAAGTTTTTCAATACTATTGTGACTGCACAAGGTGTTTCATGTTGAAATTGAAAAGTCACATCGTCTCGTTGAATGACTTTGAGATGAGATGGATTGGCCATCTTTTGATTTGATAACAAGTTAAACACAAAATCGCATTAAATGCTAAAAAGAAAATGGACTTGAGTAGGATCCTGGAATATAAATTCTGTACTGATGAACTGAAACATTTTATTAATTTTGACAATATGGGACAGTAATTGGCAATCTTGAAGCACGGAAACATACATATCTATACATAATGTCAAAGACATCGGTGGGATGATGTTTTTTCTTCCTTTCATTTTTTTTCCCAATATTCCTCAATCACCGCTGTAATGTAAATTTATGTTTAAATTGAGACCGAGAAATGAATTTTTTAAAAGCGGAAATATAATTATATACGTGCATTAAGTACTTAAAAAGTCATTTGAAATGAATTAATTTTTAGCAGCCAATAAAAAATTAATTAAAGCTAAGAGGCTCCGCCCACTTCATTTGAGTACCGTTTCCCGAAGCGTACCGTTCACAAAACGAACCGTTCCGTGCAAGAAACGAAAAGTAACAATGAACAAAGCGTACCGTTCCGTGCACAAAGCGAACCGTTCCGTGCACAAAGCGTACCGTCCCGTGAACAAAGCGAACCGTTCCGTGCGCAAAGCGTACCGTACCGTTCACAAAACGAACCGTTCCGTTCTCAAAGCGTACCGTTCCGTGCACAAAGCGTACCGAACCGTTCCGTTCAAGTGGTGTAGTAGCACGGTTTAGGGTCTGTACCATATATCATAACTTTCCGTTGGATACAACAATGTTAAAATGTTACCTACTTTAGAAAAAAAATTACACTAACCCTTAACTTTTGAACAGGTGTTTTTGAGGCTTTAATATTTCACTTGTATAGTTTCTGTAGTCCTTTCCCTGTTTACTTTGTTTTTAATATTTCAAGCTTGAGCTGACCAAAATGCACAACATTTCGCCAATAACATTTAATTGAGTTGTGATTTGGATTATTTGTTAGGGTTTTAGTTCTGTTAAAGAAAGTATGCACAGGAATGTTTCAAAAGTATGAAGTCTTTCATTTTTATTTCAGATACTTAAAGTCATGAACAGCATAAATGCCCAGGAGAGATCGATGGTATGCTTTGAACCTTCTGATGTTATTTTCATAGTCAACAAATGGGATGCTGTTTATGACAAAGAAGAAAGCGTCATTGAACAAGAATGGAATAAGGTTGTTAAGAAGATCAAGGATTCCTGGCCAAGCGTTCATTCTGACAACATTATAAAAATGTCTACAAAACTGGTACAGTCGTTGAAAATTTCACTATTTTTGTTTGTTTACTCTAAGCCAAATACCCGCACTCAACGTTTAGAGAACGTACAGATACTGTTCAAAGTAGGCTGAAGTGCAAAATTCTCTATACTTCAAAATATTTTAGATCAACTGCGCTATTCTGGAAATTTGCTTTTAAGATAACCTGGGCTGAAAGTTGCGATCACATTTTTTCCAACGTCTGTCAGAATGTCCATCATTAAATGTTTACATTTTTTTTGACAATTTTGACTTCAGAACCACCCCGCAAAGGATCACTTCATTATAAATAGGGATCTGACCTATAGCACCGTGCTTGGTTTTATATTCTACAAAAAGCTTGTCGATTTTCGTTCTGATGAATAACATTAGGCTGAATACATATACATGGAACAATTGTTTTACTAAATCTTTAATTAAGTGACACTTTACGTTTAAATGAAGCATCATTTTATTTTGGAAATTTGCTTTTTACCTAAATATATTCATTTTTAATGTTATCATTAAATTTTAGAAGGTAATACGTAACTCTTAAAACACCTACCCCCTTCTTGCAATCAGTCATTTTGAAGAAATATAGGCATCACATCCTGAAAGAAAGAAGGATTTTTTCCCTAGCATTTTCGTAATATACTTATGATAAACAGCTACAAAATCTTAAAATTCCAAAATATTGCTAAAAATTTTATAAAAAAAATGCAAGCTTTTGATTTCTGTTAAGAGGGCTAAAAGCAACTTCCGGTAGTGGAAAAAAAATCATTCAACCGTTAAATAACTGATTTGGCGAATTAAAAGTTTTTCTATTTTTTTTGTACATAGTTATAATCCGTATATAATGTTCAATCTTAAAATGAGGGTGTTGCGTTTCTATTGACGGTGAGTATATTAACATTTTTTTAATATTGTAATCATAAATTTAAATAACAATCATGAGTAGAGGACTTTTTTCAGAGTAATTGATTAAATTACGATTACTTGTAATCATAAAAATGGATGATCACTGATTACTTATGATTACTTTGCAAATTATAATCGATTACAGCTGATTACGATAACTGATTACGATTACCCCAGCCCTGCTTGGTAAACTACAATCTTTCTTTCATTATTTAAATATTTTCATTAATTGAAGTTCAATTTAGAAAAAATAAGATCAATTCTAGTCATTATGTGACCAAGTCATTTTGATATTTAAGTAATTTGAATATTAAGATATTTAATTTATTTTAAACCATGAACAATTGATATTGATACTTTTTTTTTCTTTTATGGAATAGTTGAACTGTAAAACCGCACGTTATGCAGAAAATTTTTCATGTTTTGAAACGACTCTACGTGTTCTTGTTGACAAGAACATCAACAAAAGAATAAAAGCTAACCACAGGTATTTAAGATATTATTAGTGTGTGTACGTGAGGGTATGAGAGAGAGGGTGTGTGCGAGGGTGTGTATACAATATACATATATTTCAATTGACAGCTTATCATCTGCCAAAGTTAAAGTAAAGAAAATTTGATGTTAAAGAGTAACTGTGAAATTACTAATTGTCAAAGGGAGTTTGTGAATAAAAGATTAAAGAGACAATCCTTGAGAATGGAAATTCAATTAAGAAGGAACAAAACCACAAGGGCCGGCACTTTTGAATAGAAAAATTGTAATTTTACACAATGTGTTCTTTTGTTTTAAAGTTTGAGTTAACTAGTAATAGAGTATGCACTTGTATAATTCTTACACCGACAAAGTTCACCTGCAAAACACATTAAAAATTCTTCCTTGGATATAAATATAAATTATTATAACAGTAGCTTGATCCGAAGGGTCTTCGCGTCTCGTTTGATCTGATGATCCGCGCCTGTCAACTCGACGTGATATGGCTCTTCGGATCAAGTTACTGTTATAATGATAAATTTATTATAACCCTCTTCAAAACTAGCAAAAAAAAAAAAGCAAAAGAAAACTCTAGAGATCAATTGCATAACATTTATCCATAAAACAAAGCATAATAACAAGGAACATTTTAACGCGCAAGAAAAATAACGTCATATTTCTACGTACTACGTCATCAGTTTCAGACAGTGGTGATATGTATTCAGAAAGCAACATGTTGATGATCCGGAAAATCGGATCACGACGTCACGTGATTGTGTAAATTCAACAGTAAAATTGGGTGATACACATTAGGTATATAATGAAATAAAACACATGACTTGAGAGAGATAATGTTCTCTCAGTTCTTTGATAATATAAAGAATGAAATGAATTTTATTTGCATATAGGCAATATCAAAAAAATACTAATTTCAGATGAACGGACAAATTGCTAATTTTTTTCATTTATTTCAAATATTCACATCATTTTGAATGAATTTTTGATTATTGACAGCATTGTTATCGCAGCTTTTTGTTTGACGATTGAAATGGTATTTGTGTATCGAAATCACGGATCCAACTATGCCGCAAAAATGTCACTTTCTGTATCAGAAAGCACTCAAATCTAAATCCGATGCCAATTAAAATGCTTTTAAGCGCCATGTGAGTTGGGATTCAGATCAACAAAGCGAAGCGCTACTTTGTCAACGAGGGAATTGAGCATTCACACGCCCAAGTATAAAAAGGTCTCTTCCCTCGAAATGAACTCAATCCGAAGTCACTTAATGGACTTTGATATCTGCTTTTAAAAAAATTGATAGATAGTGTTCGACATTAAGGACGCACAAGTCAGCAAAAATGGAGACTTATTATCCTTTGTATCTTTTAAAGAAAACACTGTGAGGTATTTAAGATATTATTACAGTAAAACTCGATTGTAGCAGTGTCCTTGGGACCTGTGAATTTAATTTGCTATATCCGGAATTCGTAATATCCGTATAACGAATTCGTAGAACCATTTTGTCGCATTGGCAATAGGCATGTTTTCCTTCAAGTATTACTCCCAAATATGCCAGGGAAGCAAAAACATGTATTACAAAACATATCTCCAATAACTAAGGTTTTATTTTCAATTGAATTTTATATACAAATGCTTAAAGGAAATACAGTCAGTTCAATTTATCATTATTTTTGTATAATCTTTAAAAGTTCATTATATAAGATGTGAATTGTTTTACATTCAACCTCAAAGGGACTTAAAATCAGTTCGTTATATCCGTAAACTCGTTATATCAGAGTTCGTTATGACCGGTAGATTTTACAAACTATTAAGATTTGTTTAGAATTTAGCCGGGGACCCAATAAAACTTCACTTTATCCGTGATTTTGCTATATCAGTGTTCGTACTAAACGAGTTTTACTGTATTTTAGTTACAAATTGAATATAAAGTTAATTTAGTTGAAAGATTTATTTATAAAGCAAAATGTGATGAAAACAACAGGGATACTATCTAAATGTAATAAATACTCATGCATTTTGAAATTATAGTGATTTGAAGGTCATAAAAGATCAATAACTATTATACCCCTGCAGACATAATTGATAGCCAAAAATGACATTTAATGGAAGCAAATGTGTAACTGTAATAAGAACTGGATAGGAATAATTTTCGCTCCAAATGTAGGGTTTGGTCAGCTTTTGCAAAGTCTTGTGATGCAATTGTCTTTGGCAAAACATGTCAGTCTTATTTGTCTATTGCTGCTACATTTGGTTTAAATCTGGCGATTTAGATGACTGTGGCAGAAACAGGTTGCTGTTGCTTTGCAAAAATGGAAGTGTCAAACAAGACGTATGTGGTTGTGTTTTGTGAAACTGCAAATACGGTTCTAGGATTCTGCAAAATTAAATATGCATATGTAGGTAGAACATGGTTAAGGTACCTATTTTCATCAAAATCATTTGAATTCGAGCCAAATCAATCTTACTTTTCTTTAAACTTTCAAGGGTAATAGAGATTTTAAATAGGCCAAGATTATTTTTTTTTAATTCAATTCCTGTCGTTAGATTTGTAAGATTTCCGTCTTTTTCAAAAACATTTCATATGATCATAAATGTTTAGAGTGACGTCAAGTATTTTTGCAAATCAACTTTCTGTCTTGCATTTTCATGTTCTGAAATTTATATGAAATTCTTTTCTTTTCAAGACACCTGTTCAATGTATCTTAATTAAATATCTTACAAACGAATTTAATGTGATTTCCAGATGATCTTTGTCAGTGTAAGAATTCTATATTACTCATAGAGAAGGAACTTGTCAACAACAAACGCTGTGCAAAATTACAATGTTCCTATTAAAAAAAAAGGTCCACCGTAGGCAATCGTACAATTGATTCTGCTGCAAAATAAAAAAAAGGAAATCCTCAAACAGCAACAATTGTGATTCAAAAGATCAACCAGCATTACAATCTACTATAAATATAGATATCTGAACAAAATCGTGTTTTCTTAGTTTTGAATATTTTGTTTTAGATTTCTGAAAGCCATGTTAAATAAAGTTGAGAACTTTGTCAATATAAGAATTGCTGCGACAAATGGGCCTTTTCTCAAGTTAAAAACAAAATTGGAGGGATGCTTAGAGAGATTGAAAGAACTTGAAAAACGGAGCAAGACTGTAAGTTTCTCTTGGAGCACATGTATTGTATACTGCACGTTTGAATATTTAATATTTATGTTTCTAAATAGCTAGGATCAAAACAAAATATGATTAGCAAAATCCAATTATGAAAAACGTAAATTTTGTTTAATTGTAGACTTTTGAAGATTGCACAAAAATGATGGATGCTGTGTTAAAAAAGCATGGAAAAAAATTGCTGGCGTTCATTAGATCAGAGGAGTTTAAAAATCAGGTTCTATATGTCGATTCAGAATTGCAAACCACCCTACGATTTAGGATAGATATGGTTATAAAAGAAAGAATGAAGAATGTCATTTCATTATGGATTGAAAGGAATGAGTCGTGCATCAAAAGTGAACTGGATGATATTTTATGTCACAAATTTGAGGAAATATATGGAGAACTACAAGATGAATTAGAAGATTTTGGATACACATCAAACCGAATCAATATCAGTGAAATACTTAAAACAATACTCTCTGGGGTTGTGGGAATAGGAGCTGGCCTAATATCACTGGTTGTTTTGGCTCCTTTTGTCACTGCTGAAGTTTGTACTGCGGGTGCTGCAGTGGTCATGATACTTTCATTCAATATTTCAAAGAAATTTCTTGGAAATCTTACTTTAACAAGATCCGAAATAATAGATAATTCCTTTTCCACAAGAAGAAATGAAATCACACAAGATATGATTTTACAAATTTTAGACAAAGAATTTGGTGCTCAATTCCGACACAGTGCAGACGAGTTGTTTTGTCAATTAATTCCGCAAGATATAAAAATGGCTGAAAGTTTGTTAAAAAATGTCAAAAAAGACTATAATAGAGATTTAAAGAAAAGAGCTGCCTTAATTAAGTTGTCTTTTGAAATTTTGAAAGTAAAAGAGAGGCTGCAATGTTGCCATTTTTTAGGTACAATTGAGTGAAAGGAAACATCGTACAAAACTAATTTTGATACATAAACAGGTCAAGAAAGAATTGTTTCATACTTTGTGCTTATCCTGCTTTTAGTAAAAGAAATAAGTTAGCATAGCAAGTAAACCGAATAACTCTGAATATATTACATTAAACTAGTAACCTCAAATACTTGTCTTTTTCTGTCTTTATCCATTGTGTCATTAAACCAGTACATGTAAATTAAATATATAAGTAAATATAATTGCATATACATGTACAACTGTATGACAATATTTTCTATGCTCTTTTGATGTTTTTAATTAGTGATATTGTTACTAGTTTAAAGCCATATGTAGTATAGGGATATCACGCTATGGAAATGTGTTAATGTTAAACTAACACAGGACTTTGAGCTTTTTTTCTGTTATAAGAAACATTATCTAAAATGTGTTTATCTTGAATTTTGATATCTAATAAAAGTGGCAAGTATGATTCGTGCAAATACTTGTTCTACTTACATGTGCGTTTATCTTAAAACGAAACCGGAATAAGATATTTTATTGCTTGTGTTAAGTGAAAGCCTTAACCGATCTATTTTAAGTAGCATTTTTGTAATTGAAGTATTTATTTGATTCATGTGCAACTAGACCATGTATATTGTTCTAAAAGATGTATGACTACAGTCAGTTTATATTTTTGTTACAGATAGTGAATGTAACAAATTAAATATTATACAATAGATATGTACAAAAGTTTCATATATATATATATATATATATATATATATATATATATATATATATATATATATATATATATATATATATATATATATATAAAGCACTAAAAATGACCAACGACACGAACAATAAAAATTGTCAAATTTTCGGGACGCCTTGTCCCTTCCTCAGGACAAAGAAAAGAGTTAAAAGGTCATAAGAACAAAGGAAAAAGCGAAACAAAAAACAACTAGCACTACTACTAAACTACTAAACACTATATATTCACCCGAGTATACCCGATAGACCGGACGCATTTCATAGCGGTCCGGATTCTTTCTTTAATAGTGTTCTTAAAAATTTCCAAATCAACATGTAACTTAGTATGTAAATATATAGTGTTTAGTAGTTTAGTAGTAGTGCTAGTTGTTTTTTGTTTCGCTTTTTCCTTTATTCTTATGACTTTTTAACTTTTTTCTTTGTCCTGAGGAAGGGACAGGGCGTCCCGAAAATTTGACAATTTTTTATTGTTCGTGTCGTTGGTCACTTTTAGTGCTTGATATAAATTTCCATCCGTGACCTTATATCTACTTGGTAGATCCGACATTTAGGATATACAGTGTTGTTGGTTTTTTAGTGCTTTATATATATATATATATATATATATATATATATATATATATATATATATATATATATATATATATATATATATATATATATATATATATATATATATTTAAAAGTAAAAATCCAAAAATATCACAAAACATATACTGCAAGCACTTTCGCCATGTTCGGCTCTTCAGGCAGTTATACAAATGTCAGGTAGGTTACCTGGTAACGTCAAAAGCATAAAGTTCATTGTGACGTCATAATAGATGTAGGTAGCGTTAAGTTGGCGTAATTGTTAATGTACAAATCTTGCACTAACTTTCACACATTATACAAATGAAATTTCAAAATATAAAATATACAAAATCATTTGCGATTAAGTTTGGGTTTAAAGAGGTTGATAAAAAAGTCTTCTTTTGCCAAACGTAAATTTTCGTTTTCACTTGGAAGTTTATAAAAAGGGAAAATCTTAAATATTCCTTTGCCACATTTTGCGAAATGTTCACAACACGGTGTATTACGCACACTAGGGTCTTTAATTTGTTGTTTGTGCACACGAACCCTGGCATTTAGTTTTCCGGTTTGTCCAATATAATATTCTTTACACGTCGGACAGATGGCACAGTAGATGACGTTTTCCGATTTACAGTTCATAGATGAGTTGGTTCGAATTTCCATTCCTGATTTAAGTTGGATTTTATTCCCCTCTTCTAAATATGTACATGTTCCGCATCTCGGATCTCCGCATTTTTTAATGGTTGGAATTTCCTCCTGTGTTGTAAAACGGGCCTTGGTCAACAGTTTTTTAAGATTTGGTGCTTGTCGTCGACTGTTTATGATATCATTTGGCTGAACTAAACTTTTCATGTTTTCCGATTGTTCTAAAATGGGATAAAATCTTTTAGCGTCCATAAGGATGTTTCTGTTCCTTGGGTTATGGGTAACTACAAAGGCTATTTTCCCGTCATCATCGGTGTCGTCTATACGGCGTGGATTTCTTAGGTCCTCTATTGGAATTTCGGATGCCTTTTCTATTCCAATGTTTATAAGATCCAATGGATAATTTTGTCGTCTTAAATATATTTTTAATTCTTCCAAACGTCTACATCGTAGGGTTTCATCTGTAATAATTGTACAGATTCTTCGTGCTGTATTAAACGGAATATTACGTTTTGTGTGGGATGGGTGGCACGATCTAAAATCCAAATATTGGTGCGTGTCCGTGGGTTTACAGTACAAGTCTGTAGTTATACACGATCCATTTTTTATAATAAGAAGATCTAAAAATGGAAGTTCCTTACGACTTTTTTCTATAGTAAATTGTATGGAATCATGGAGGTTATTTAGAAGTGAATGGAATTGAGTTAAGTCTTCTTCACCCCTGGTCCAAAATATGAAGCAGTCGTCTAGGTAACGTTTCCAATTATTTTTTATGTAGTTAGCAAAGTCGACATCAAACAGTTCAGGTATTTTCCCATATAGTTGATCTTCTAAATATCCCATCACTAAAGTTGCGTATGAGGGAGCAACTTTTGTCCCCATTGCGGTTCCTTTTATTTGTAGGTAAAGAATATTATATTGGACAAACGGGAAAATTAAATGCCAGGGTTCGTGTGCACAAACAACAAATTAAAGACCCTAGTGTGCGTAATACACCGTGTTGTGAACATTTCGCAAAATGTGGCAAAGGAATATTTAAGATTTTCCCTTTTTATAAACTTCCAAATGAAAACGAAAATTTACGTTTAGCAAAAGAAGACTATTTTATCAACCTCTTTAAACCCAAACTTAATCGCAAATGATTTTGTATATTTTATATTTTAAAATTTCATTTGTATAATATGTGAAAGTAAGTGCAAGATTTTTACATTAACAATGACGCCAACTTAACGCTACCAACATCTATTATGACGTCACAATGAACTTTATGCTTTTGACGTTACCAGGTAACCTACCTGACATTTGTATAACTGCCTGAAGAGCCGAACATGGCGAAAGCGCTTGCAGTAAATGTTTTGTGATATTTTTGGATTTTTACTTTTAAATATACCAAAAACTGTACTGATTCTTCATTTTGTTTAGAAATTATTTATTGATCGGTACATGAATCCAAGATGTCACAAACCAGAGCTAAGACGGTAGCGGAATCCAAAGGAATTATAGGGATTTTAGAAGAAATCTCGGAGAAAATCTCTACACTTTGTAGTAAGTATGAGAATCTTACTGTTGCAATCAAGGATATGGAGGAACTGAACCGCATATTTCGAGAGGAAGTCCAGGTTTTATTATCTACCAGGAATGCTGACAACGATGGAAATATTATGTCACATGGAAATAACTATGCGACTAATGCGGAAAATATAATTCAACAATGGAGCGAATTAAATCTTGAAAAGGAAGCTTACAAGAAGAGGAGACAACTGAAAGGAGTATGGTTTAAACTTCTTAACCAGAGGAAACAGGCGTACTGGAATGCTATAAAAAATGAAAATCTTGCCAATACCTACGAAAACTGGAAAAATGAAGAAATAATTATTTTTCCCAGGAAATTTAGGATCAAAACGATCGACTCGGAATCCACCGAAGAAACAGAAATTAGAGCTAATTTAGCACTGCAAAGATTTGAGACGGAATTTACATTACTTCGACTGAGAGTTCCTAAATTCAAAAGTCAGTTTGAAAATTGTGATAAAGTTATGACCGAAGAAATACAAAAATGCAGTAATGGCAAAATGGAGGAAAAACTACTGGAATTATGGCTTAAGGATGTGTCAAGAGAGGAGGAGAAATCACAAAAATTCTTGGAATCTAAAAAAGTGTGGTTAGATCAATACAAAGAAAACTACGGCAATGAAACAACCAAAACACCAAATAAATCAAAACCGGAAAACAGGCCAACCAAGAAAAATTTCAACAGAAAACCGAGAGACAACTTTCCGGAAAGAAAAAACAACAGATTTATCAACTCTAAATCTAGATCAAAGACACCTCAAGAGCGTCACACATCGTATGCAAATGCCGTAAAAAATGGCAATTTACCTAAGCGAATTGCCAATCAGAGAATACCAAATAACCCACGAGGATTCCTCCCAAGAAATCAAAACAATTATGGTCCGACCAAGGGAAGATTCAACAATATGAGAACCGGTCATAATGGCGATAGACGACAAAATGGTGGCCATCAAAATCAACCATTACAGGATCAAGAGATTAGAGAAAAACGGAACTCGAATCAAAATTCGAACAACAGAAAACATTTTTTAGGACCACGCCAACCTCAAAGAACACGGAAAAAACAAGCAACTTTCCGTTTCAAGAGTCATTAAATAATAAATCAACAGGTCCCAAAATTATTAATCTCTCAAGCAGAGATTTAAATAATATCGAAAAAGAAATATTATTCAGGGGATTAAAATTTACGCCAACACCAAACAGGAACAATGTGGACTTAATTGCAGATACGGATGAATTTTGTCGCAAATTACGTTTAAGAGAATATTTTCAAAATTCTACATATGATGATGAATCCCTTGTTAGAAATAAAAAAGGATTTAGACCGCCGATAAACAGAGACAGACATTTAGAAGAATTTATAACATGTCTTAAGTCTTCTGCTCACTCAAACAAAGAACAAACGAGGACAAAAAGTAATATATCTAAATCCCAACAAAATGCAATACAAGATCTACGGAATGATTCATCCATAATCATAAAAGAAGCTGATAAAGGAGGCGCTGTTATTATTATGGACAAACCCCATTATAAGGAAATGGTACTGAACGAACTTCAGAACTGTCGGTTTTATAGAAAATTAACAGCCAACGAAGATCGTCACACAATGCTCAAGGTTGAGAAATTAACTAAAAAATATGCCGAAAATTTAACAGAAAATGAAATTGATTTCTTAACCAACTTTGAATTGAAATCCAGTAATTTCTACGGATTACCAAAAGTCCACAAATCTAAGGAGATCCAGGAAGCTGTGAAAAATTGTGATGACGCATATATAAAAATATCCCAACCTGCTGACCTTAAAATACGTCCTATCATCGCTGGACCTGCATCAAGCACTCAACGACTGAGTAATTTATTGGACATTTTATTGAAACCACTATGCAAATTATTACCCAGCTTCGTAAGAGATGATATGGATTTTCTGAATTATATTCCCCAAAATGTAGACCCAAACACTATTCTCGTCAGTTTTGATGTTACAAGTTTGTACACAAATATCCCACATACTTTGGGACTGGAAGCAGTTAGTTACTGGATAGACAAACATCCGGATATTATAAATGAACGATTCCCAAAGGAATTCATTTTAGAAGGACTGAAGATAGTGTTGGAAAATAACCATTTCCATTTTAACAATGAGTTCTACATACAAATAAAAGGAACCGCAATGGGGACAAAAGTTGCTCCCTCATACGCAACTTTAGTGATGGGATATTTAGAAGATCAACTATATGGAAAAATACCTGAACTGTTTGATGTCGACTTTGCTAACTACATAAAAAATAATTGGAAACGTTACCTAGACGACTGCTTCATATTTTGGACCAGGAGTGAAGAAGACTTAACTCAATTCCATTCACTTCTAAATAACCTCCATGATTCCATACAATTTACTATAGAAAAAAGTCGTAAGGAACTTCCATTTTTAGATCTTCTTATTATAAAAAATGGATCGTGTATAACTACAGACTTGTACTGTAAACCCACGGACACGCACCAATATTTGGATTTTAGATCGTGCCACCCATCCCACACAAAACGTAATATTCCGTTTAATTTAGCACGAAGAATCTGTACAATTATTACAGATGAAACCCTACGATGTAGACGTTTGGAAGAATTAAAAATATATTTAAGACGACAAAATTATCCATTGGATCTTATAAACATTGGAATAGAAAAGGCATCCGAAATTCCAATAGAGGACCTAAGAAATCCACGCCGTATAGACGACACCGATGATGACGGGAAAATAGCCTTTGTAGTTACCCATAACCCAAGGAACAGAAACATCCTTATGGACGCTAAACGATTTTATCCCATTTTAGAACAATCGGAAAACATGAAAAGTTTAGTTCAGCCAAATGATATAATAAACAGTCGACGACAAGCACCAAATCTTAAAAAACTGTTGACCAAGGCCCGTTTTACTACACAGGAGGAAATTCCAACCATTAAAAAATGCGGAGATCCGAGATGCGGAACATGTTCATATTTAGAAGAGGGGAATAAAATCCAACTTAAATCAGGAATGGAAATTCGAACAAATTCATCTATGAACTGTAAATCGGAAAACGTCATCTACTGTGCCATCTGTCCAACGTGTAAAGAATATTATATTGGACAAACGGGAAAATTAAATGCCAGGGTTCGTGTGCACAAACAACAAATTAAAGACCCTAGTGTGCGTAATACACCGTGTTGTGAACATTTCGCAAAATGTGGCAAAGGAATATTTAAGATTTTCCCTTTTTATAAACTTCCAAATGAAAACGAAAATTTACGTTTGGCAAAAGAAGACTATTTTATCAACCTCTTTAAACCCAAACTTAATCGCAAATGATTTTGTATATTTTATATTTTGAAATTTCATTTGTATAATGTGTGAAAGTAAGTGCAAGATTTTTACATTAACAATGACGCCAACTTAACGCTACCAACATCTATTATGACGTCACAATGAACTTTATGCTTTTGACGTTACCAGGTAACCTACCTGACATTTGTATAACTGCCTGAAGAGCCGAACATGGCGAAAGCGCTTGCAGTAAATGTTTTGTGATATTTTTGGATTTTTACTTTTAAATATACCAAAAACTGTACTGATTCTTCATTTTGTTTAGAAATTATATATATATATATATATATATATATATATATATAAAGCACAATTTACAACAACTCTTAAACTAACATAACTGCCCTAAGTGAAGAAATATTAATATAGAAAGCACAAAGAAATTCACTTTTACATGGATACCCACTTCCGCCCCAGCCCGGGGTTGAACTCTCGACCTTCGGAATCTGTCTCCTAGCAGTGCAGGAACAGCGCGCTAGACCGCTCGGCTATCTAGGCAAGTCAAAAAACTTGCTTTCGATGCCGATGGAATTCTCGCGGCGCTGCCCTACACTACACGGTCATTGAGAATAGAAGTGAGATACAGTTATTTGGACATTAGTTTTAACAGAGGATTGTTACCAATACATGTTGTAATGAAATTAATTATTATTTATAAAGCACAATTTACAACAACTCTTAAACTAACATAACTGCCCTAAGTGAAGAAATATTAATATAGAAAGCACAAAGAAATTCACTTTTACATGGATACCCACTTCCGCCCCAGCCCGGGGTTGAACTCTCGACCTTCGGAATCTGTCTCCTAGCAGTGCAGGAACAGCGCGCTAGACCGCTCGGCTATCTAGGCAAGTCAAAAAACTTGCTTTCGATGCCGATGGAATTCTCGCGGCGCTGCCCTACACTACACGGTCCAAATAACTGTATCTCACTTCTATTCTCAATGACC